AGCTGTCATTCTAAAACCTCATGATTTGAACTTTCCGTTGATTGTTTTGATTACTGAGGTGTAATCCATTGTATAGCAACAATCTGACAGACTTGGTTTCCATTTCATCAGAAATTGGTTGTTAAAATCAAGTTTGCTTCTTTAATGCTGTTATTCTTCACATTTAAAAGATGCTACTAAAGGCTTTCTGAAAAATAAAATTTCATGCCTCGTTCTTTGAGCTAATAAATATTAGATCAAAATGTAGGCTAAGCTTTCTATTTATCCAACAGCTGTATATTTATTTTCTTGGCACCCTTGTCTGTAGGTATTGGCTGATAATATAAAGTTACCTTGTAGACTTGTAAAAGGCAGTCATTACACTGGGTTAGAGCATGATGCTGTAAACATGGTAAAGCTGGAGGATGGAAGGTAGTAGTTTGTACTTATTTTCGATTCAATCCAGGTCTGATGTTTTGTTTCATTGCCTTCAGGGATTTTTTGGTTGATCTCATGGCAGCTCCTGGGACACTTATACCTGCTGATATTTTCAGTGCAAAGGATACCGCTTTGAAGTCATATAATCCATCACTAAGCAAAAGCCCGACTATTCTGATGATGTTGGAGGTGTTCACACGAGAGCCAAATTAAATGGTGAAGGCAGTAGCCAAAGTTCTGCAATTAATGTTGGTTTTCCCTCAGATAGGGGGATCAAGTTCAAAAAACACAGAATACTTATATTCATTCTCAGGTCCAAGTGGTGACTCTGCTGTTGTCACTTCCATAATGTCCAACAAAATGTCCCCTAATGAGTGGGATCATCTTCCTTCTACTGTAATTGGAGCTTCACTTTATAAAGGGAGTCGTGGGACCAATCCTACAGTTGACTGTGCAAGGATGAACCTCAATGTGGTTCCATACAGTCAGAGTAGTAAGGATGACCCTAAAAACCTTTTTGCAGATCTTAATCTTTTCCAGATAAAAGGGACAGATAAAACTTACCTGCAGAACAAATCTACCGAAAGCAAAGTTGATGACCTTCAAAGACAAAAAATGAATATTGTCATCAGTCGCCCCCCTGTCCCATTACGGATGAATTGGCCCACTTACAATGAGATCCCTCAGAAAAAGGAGTACAATTATGTGGATGGTCAATTTCCCAAAATCAATCGCGAGTCTTATGAGTTCCATCAATCAGCATCAGCTTCAACCAGCTCAACAAAATCTGAGAAGGTCCATCCTCATGGTTTCAAGTTATCGAGTGATTCCAATCTCCCCAATAATGATTATAAATCTAGGGATCGTTTGTCTGACATGGGACAATCTTTGACTTCTACTACTGGTCAGTTCAATAATGCACCGATGGTTCAGGATGTGAGCACTAACTTTAATGAAGAAAAATCCAATCGATGGCAGGATGTGCAAAATAACACTGGATATGGTTAAAGATCAGGAAAGTAATGAAGTGGGTTTACATGATCACGGAAAAGCCAAAACTGATAGATGTATGGGGAAAAATCTGAAATTGAAGAATCCTGAAAGTCCTAGGTCACCAGTTGATTGGATAACAGAAAGGGTTGATCAACTCTTTGATGACGTAGATGTGGATGATTGTGAAATTGCATGGGAAGACTTGCATATTGGTGAAAGAATTGGACTGGATAAGGCATATGATCTATTCTCTATTAGGTTTGGAAATCATGGTTTTGCAGAGATGGATTTTTAGTCCATAAACTGTCAGTTTTTTCAGTCTTTACTGCATTATTGCTTTTAAAGGTTAGAGTTATTAGGAGCAGCCATGGATGGTGTTGCACTCCTATGTAGATATACTGTTTTCATTTCTTTAGGAGTTCTAATTCTTTGTGAATTTCGTTTTCTTGTGAATAGGTTCATATGGAGAGGTCTATCATGCTCATTGGAATGACACGGTTAGTTTTAGATACTATTTTTCCCTTGAAATTTGTAAAGTTGATCACTTCTTTCCTTATTTTCTTTTTATTTGTTGTTGTTTTATTTAAAGTTGGAGAACTTGTTCTTGGCTCTTTAAAATGTTCTCTTTATGATGTTGGTTTGTCATTTTTATGTTGCTTTAGAGACTCTGTGATGGCTTATAATATGACTACATGGATTAACATGAACATCACTGTAGAACCTTTTACATGAACAATACTCCAATAGTTTAGATGGTAATATAGAATTTTTAGTAAGTGAATCATAATTGGCAATACCTTTATTTCTTTGTACCAAGTAGCTTGTAAAAGAGTTGTGTTTTTAAGACACGATTTCTCTACTGGTACCAATTTTGAATCAATAAGATATGAAATGAAAAATGGTGTTTCGAACTTCCTGGCTGGTAATGGGTTTTGAACCACAGGAGGTTGCTGTTAAGAAGTTCCTAGACCAGGATTTCTCGGGTGCTGCTTTGGCTGAATCAAAAGAGAAGGGAAAAATTAAAATTAGGATTTCTATTTTTAGTTTTGTCTCCAAATGATAGAAACTTGTATTGCAAGATGCTTTTAGTTTTTCTATTGTCTTTCATCTAGAATGCAAGACACCCGGAGAAGGAGACAACCGGAGTTCCCTCTTTTGGTGAGGTGAAAACTCATTTTCTTCCATTAATATTCTGCTATAAATAGCAAAAACAATACAATATAAAACAATACTTTTATCACCTAATATTTACCTGATACAAGAAAATCTATCAAACATTTAAAGTAATATTATATTCAAAAGATTTGCTGCCATTTAAAGTAATATTATCTCTTAACAGAAATTGTAAATATATATGAAAGGAAATTGTTTACATCTGTACGTGTTCTTGTTTTCTTTCGTACTACTCTGTTTCTGTAAATGTAAAAATTATTCTGGGGAGCAAAGATATCCTTGTGCATAATCTGGAAATGTGTGGAATGAAGATGCCGGAGTAATGGATTATCCTTATCCTCAACTAAAGTTCTAGAAGATGTGGCAAAATGAGGCAAAAGTTAAAAAATTTTGATGGTAAAAATGACGCCAATCTGCTTGCTGAATCAAATTAAATCACATATATTGATTATCCGAAATTGAACTCTGAATTTCAATGTTCTGAAATTGACAGGGTGCTGATGTGCTAAAAGCCTTACATGATATATATATGCTTCAAGACTCAAAAGGGTATGACTTATTTAGTAATTCTAGGGATGCAATACTATCAGCATCAGCCAGAATGAGAAGCCAAAATACCCTTGGAAGGGATTTCAAACACAAGATGACGATTTCAAGACTATTTTTAGCCATCCAATCAGCTGTGTAGCTGTCGGGCTCCACCTCCTGGTACTGGTAGTGCTAGTGATTTTCTTGATGATGTTCCTATGAGGGTGGTGGCTGGTATTGTTCATGTCAACTTCTAAAGCCAGAAGGAGAGCAACGCATAGGTCCAAAGTTCAGCAAGATCAATGCTACAATTCTCAAGGAACATGCTAAAACCAGCCATCTAGTTACCATGGATCCAAGAGAAATCGTTGATGATGTGTCTCTTTTTTCTGAAAATGTCCATCTCTGTATATTCTTCAAAGACTTTGTTCATGAAATTGTTGCACTCATCAAGGTTCTTGCTCCCTAGGAATGAATAATTTAAACATATATACCTCGACTGGGCATTAGAAAGTGGACATAGATTGACCAGATTGATATTCAATGGATGACTCAGGAAATCCATTCAGGTTCTTGCTCCCTAGGAATGAATAATTTAAAAAGGAATTAGCATCCAATTAATGGAGATAGACATGTCAGCAGAAGCAAGTTAACAGACATATATACCTGAGCTGAGCTGCACATTAGAAACTAGTCAATTGATAATTGAAACTCGTAGAGGCAAAAGGAAACGCTAAACAGACGGATAGTTAATCTCTACCCAAGTTTCGTCGCTGTGAATAATCAAAAAGGGAATTAGCGAGACAGACATCTTAGGAGCAAATCAACCAAGATTAGATAATTGAGCAAATCAATGGAGATTAACACTTGGATTCATTTAGAAACAAGAGATAGAAACATTTATTTATGAAATACTAGAGAGGAGAGAATGGAATGCAAGTGTTGGAAAAAGGGAGACTAATGAGACTTACCCGCGCTCATAATATGTGAGGAAAGGTAGGAGGACAATCTTATCGTCAGGATTCTCCCACTCCAACGATTCCCACCATTCTATTGGATTGAAAATATAGATAGATTTGACAGCAGGAAGAGATGGTTGCGCGTTTTCCCTTCCAAGACAAAGGGGAATCCTCTTTACCTTCGCACAGGTATCTATATGGATGCTATTGAGAGATTCACAAACCATTACTCCTCTTTCGGGGCAGATTCTCTTCAATTCTCCTAGGAATCGCAACTCCAATTTCCTTAATTTTGGAAGAGTGATTAGTATTGGAGTAGTGGTTTGATTTCCTTCCTCTTCTTCTTCCCATCCTATTATTTCCTCCATCCCCCCACAATGATTCACCTCAATCAGCTCCAAGTTTTGGAGGCCCTGACCCTGCAGCAGCTCACATGGAAAAAGCTTCTTCAATTTTGAACAATAGTATACCCTCAGCTGTTTAAGATTGGAAAAGATGTGAGGGGATATTGTTGGTGCAAGCGATGCTCTTGTTTTTTCCACTTCCACAACATCCCCTTCCTCTTCTTCTTCCCATCCTATTATTTCCTCTATCTCGCAACAATTTTTCACGTCAATCAGCTCCAAGTTTTGGAGGCCCTGACCCTGCAGCAGCTCACATGGAAAAAGCTTCTTCAATTTTGAACAATTGTATACCATCAGCTGTTTAAGATTGGGAAAGATGTGAGGGCATATTGTTGGTGCAAGCGATGCTCTTGTTTTTTCCACTTTCACAGCATCCCCTTTCTCTTCTTCTTCCCATCCTATTATTTCCTCCATCCCCCCACACCGATTCACCTCAATCAGCTCCAAGTTTTGGAGGCCCTGACCCTGCAGCAGCTCACATGGAAAAAGCTTCTTCAATTTTGGACAATCGGATACCCTCAGCTGTTTAAGATTGGAAAAGATGTGAGGGCATATTGTTGGTGCAAGCGATGCTCTTGTTTTTTCCACTTTCACAACATCCCCTTCCTCTTCTTCTTCCCATCCTATTATTTCCTCCATCCCCCCACACCGATTCACCTTAATCAGCTCCAAGTTTTGGAGGCCCTGACCCTGCAGCAGCTCACATGGAAAAAGCTTCTTCAATTTTGGACAATCGAATACCCTCAGCTGTTTAAGATTGGAAAAGATGTGAGGGCATATTGTCGGTGCAAGCGATGCTCTTGTTTTTTCCACTTTCACAACATTCCGCAAGTCAGGCAAACCCTTAAGAGTTAGTACTTCAAGGTTATTCATAACTGTCAAGGAAGTAGATGAAGATGATGACAAAGAGACCACACACACTATCCCTTGGCAGTATTTCAAAGCACATGTTCGCAATTGAGTAAAATCTCTCTGAAAAATAGAAATATCACTGGCCATTTTGCACCTTTGAATCGTCAAATCCTGAAGGTCATTTGGAAGGACAAACTCATCTCCTTCTTCCATCTGGTATCCGATTAGAATTACCTGTTTAGGAAGATCATTATTGTTGAACTTCAAAAAATACCCCTCCATGTGGATTGCGGTTCCCACATTAATAGAGTAATGACTAGGTCTTCCAAAATGGTTCAACTTGCTAACAAAACTGCTGTAGTCTTTCAGCCAATCAAATGTACCTTCAAACCATTCCAGCATCTTCAATCCTGCTACTTCTTTTCCTCCTATTTCAGTTGCAAAAATCCGATGTTTACGTAGGTATTGGAGGCGGAAGAGCTTACTGATTTTTCCTCTTGGTAGCTCCGTCAAGTTGGGACAAGATAAATCAAGATATTCCAGATTTTCTAACATTTCAATGCCTTCAGGAGTCTCATGAAGGCCCGCTCCCTCCAAATCCAACTTCTTCAGTGCTTTAAGCTTTGACAAGGAAGGCATGTGCTTTAAACAACAACATTTACGGAGGATCAGTGCAGTGAGATATTCCAAGTTACATATGGAATTAGGTAGAACCTCAATGCCAGTTCTAGAAAGATCAAGAAACTTCAGCTGGGGCATGTTAGCAAGAAAACACTCTGAAATTTGTCTCAATCCGTTATTACCCTCCAAAATCAAGGTTGAGAGCATCAAGCATTTGGGGGACATATTTTGAGGGATATATGATATTTCATTTTTCATGAGGGAGACCTTGTTTAGATCTCCATTCCATTCATCCTCATTCGGTATCTCTGTCAATCTCATTCCAGCTTTTACCATAAACCAACCAGGACCTGTGCTCTTGATGCGCAATGCCATATCCCTCACAACATCATGCATCTTAACACACGCCTTATCATAGGCTTCCTCTAACAAACAACAGTTTAAAAGCCTATTTAAAATAGTATTTCCTTTATCATGCATTTCTCCTCTGCTTCCTAATTTTTGAACAGTTCCCTCACAAATCCAGTTTTCAATTAGATCTTTTCTTCTAATATTCCAATCTTCCGGATACAATGAGCAATATAAGAAACACTCTTTGATGCTTGAATTTTTTGGTAGACGGTCATAACTGAACTTCAAACGATTAAATATCTCATCTTCTGAATCTTTCTCTGTGTCCACCACACATTGACGCAATTCACGTAATGCATTTCTCCAGTCAGAAATTTCTTCTAGTCCTCTCATGCTCCCTGCAATGACAACAATGGCCAATGGCAAACCAGCGCATTCAGCCACCATAAGCTTCAAAATCTCTTCCAATTCAGGAATTCGTAGAACATCTTGCCCAACCTTATCTAAAAACAAGTTCAAAGACTCTTG